AAAAAAGAGAACGAGATCTCAAGTAATTGCTGTTTACTTTTCGATCGTTTAATCTGTCCACGAATGGTCACCCACGATGTCAAAGGTAAAAGGATTACATTTCATACGATTTACAACATCGCCTACTTAATAATATCCTTATAAACGGAAAGGATCTTTATTAATTGTTCTTTGTATAACTTCATGATTTTTGATCGCGACACTTTTACAAATATATATAGATAACTTATTTACAATAATTATATGATACAATGGATAATTCGTTTAACGAAGATTAAAAGTTTATTTTTTTAGTTCTTCTGAAAAAAAAATAATAATAAATAAATAAATAAATAAAAATCGACAAGGATAAGTTTTTAAGGGTTTCGTTTTGATTTTTCTTTTAATAATAATGGATGATGCAGTAGTACAGATCACGGTACAGTGAGATTGAAAAAAAAAAAAAAAGAAAAAAGAAAGAAAGAGAGGAGAAGGTTTAATAGTTTAAAATTGGATATGTATCGGTGTAATTGTGTATCTTAAATAACTATTATTATTATTATTAAATACTACCGAGTTAAAAAGTTTTCTTGAAAAATGCTATTTATCTCGGTTCCGATTCTAGAATGGGTTCTGTTCCAATACTTATACGATAATAATCTTGCCTTTGAACAGAAAAAATAAGAAAAAGATATTATTCCATCCGGTACTAACCGCTCATCCCATAACAACGAATTCACTTTTTCTACATCCACGTTTCGACGAAAAAAACTCAATCAATTTTTTCGAAAATTTATCGAATTCAATCCAATGACGCGTATTCACTTTTTCTTACTTTATATAATTTAACACTACTAAAAAAAAAAACCTATCTTCAATCAATACCATTTAACGAAACAATTCCTACGACGAACAATCCTCTCCCCCTCCCTAAAATAAAAGAAGAAAGAAAAAAAAATTAAAAAAAAAAAAAAAATCGCAAGAGGACAGATAAAACGATTGTTACGGAGAAGGACGAAGACTAGGAAGAGACTGTGGAAAAACGCGTAGGTGTGGTCGACACCGGCCGACGGCGGCGCACGTAGACCGCGATGGCGGCGGTCGGTTAAATTCCCTCGAGTAGAAAGTTGTTAACGTGGCGTACC